TGAAATGCAATTATAGTTCGAATTTGGGCTATCATACATTCACGTCCGCATTGTAGTGACACACCATGCGCACAACTTACTATGAATGTATGTAACAGAAGGCTTTACGCCAGTTTTTAGTCGAAGGAGTCACTCACATGTATATGTAAATATATATACTTATACATTCATAGTCATATCCCTATGTATATGTATGTATACGTTGTCTGCGATCAAAGTTTTTTTTATAACATTTAATTGTTAGCTGTAATTAAAACAGTGACAATAGCCATTACTATGCATTCCACAGTTATCCGTAGACTTGTGTGTGTATATTAATATGTACAGTAACGCGCAAACTTTTTGAGTAGATGGCGCCCAGCGTTGCTGTTGGGCGTTGGTCAGGTGCCAAAAAGTTCACACAAAATGTTGACACACACACACACAGAAAAGCAGCCTTGGCCTCCAAATTAAATATGTATATGTATAAATTTGGGATTGATATAAATAATTAAAACAAATGTTATATATAAGTATTTTAATCTAATATACATATATAAAATACATAAAAGTAAAAAGCGGTTTCAATGATTGAATAATGTGTGTACTAATTTTTAAAATATTTATTTATTTTGAGTATATATATTCTACAGAAAATAAAAAACAATAGCCTTTTAGTTGAGCTGTGCACTATTTTCTAAATTTAGAGGATGAAGTAATAAAAGACAGCAAAATCACAAATCATTATAAAATCTTCCCAACTCCCTTTGAGTATTACAAAATATTGTAAATAATAAAAAATGTTGTTTACCAAAATATTTACACTCGATCTTTAAAGTTTGCCGGCGTGTATTAAAAGCGTACCCAGAAGTTCATGCCTAATGTCAGGTATTTTATAGAGCTAAGGTTGCAGAGTTGTTGAATCGTATGCCAACCTACATTGTGTGAGTTCCCAAAAATCGAAATTAGCATATGCTCAATGAGGCGCATAGAAGAGTCAAGAATAAATATTAAAGGTTCCGAATCAACTACTATATATATGTGCATACACAAATGTATGTATATACACATAGATAAGCATTATATTTAAAGTCCAATCACGGTGTGAACATAAAGCAAACTTTAATTATTATTTCTTTATAGGCATATGTCGCTGACATAAATAATAAGTAATTGCCATTGGGGCTATTGTTGTTGGGTCTATAGCCCATTCCGGTTGTATCAAATATGTGACATTGACGGGACCACGAGTTGGCCAAACAGACGAGCCAATTGAGGAAAATCCAAATGTGGGCTCATAATTTTTTTTTACATAATAATTTCACCAGTTATAAGCAATAATTCAACGCTTCGTCAGCCATTTCTTCAAATATTGACGCAAACTATTCACAGATCTTATAAATGGGTTGGCAGCTGCACCTGCCATACTCTCTTTTTATGTAAATACCTGAAAGGTACCACACACTTATGCACACACACACACACACATGGAGGCAGCAAATATTAAACAATATGCAAGCTGTGCAAAATATTTTAAATTTCGATAAAACAAAATTAAATATCTGTATAAAACAACACAACGGCTGCACTTTCTCCTTCAACAAGTACATATTTACATTTAGCCAACTCTGTGGTAAATTGGCCAGCCCGAGATCGCTGGGATGACAGGCCGGAACCCATTGCGTAAATATGCGGTAATTTTTTTTGTATAGTAAGCAAACAAATGAGCCCAGCCTCTCTGTCTGCGTTGTAGCTGCTGCTGACGTTATCTCAATTCCTTAACATCCAATGGAGCTACAAAGAGACTTGAAGACACACAAATTTCAGTCACAATAGTAAAGATTACAATTTATTTATAATAGTAATATTTATATATATAATACTTGTAGTTTTCTTTTGTTGGTCATACTATAATCACTGCTGACCCAACCGAGTAATTAAAATAAAGATCATATAATTAAGTTGTTTGTCGGCAAACTTGAACTTGCTGAAAGCACAACTATAAACTTCAGAAAGTTATTAAAAAATTTAATACGACTCTTAAATACTCTCTTTAGCTTTATGGCATATTAACATGTTATATACCCCATTGAAGGACTATTGCCATCAGTAGCAACTTCTTGAACTATTAAATAGAGGGATGCTGTGCAATTAGTAAATAGTAATAATCATATTGTCCAGTGCAGTGATAAATCACATATAGCGTTAGGATTATAATGTTTGAAGCATCGTTTACGAAAAGTCGGGTCAGTTGGTTGGGAAAAGACGTCGCGACGTGCTCACAATGGGCGGCATTGCCCAAGTCCAAAAACAGTCGACTGCACGTACAATTTGTTACTACAATACTCTTTGCATTTCTCAATGTAAACATAGATAATTTTTATGAGCGCCGAAAATAAATACAAACCATATCAAACATAGCTAAAAGTCGAGCCGAGTGAATTTGAACTCAACTTTAACTGTGAAATAGTCTTCCACAGTGAAGTACAACTATAATTTGTTGAAGCTTGTAAACTTTTCACATTAAGATTTCAGATGTTTGGCCTCTATATAGATTTAGTAGATAAGTTTTTTACTAAATTGTCTATTAAACATACCGAGCAACATTAAGTCATATATATATCATAAAATTAAATTAGTAAATATTAGTAATATTTATTTTTATGAAAGATCAATACAAAAAATTAAATTAAAAAAATTATGTATATAAACTGCGAATTCAAAACCTAAGCAGGATTTCAGATCTTTATGATATTACAATATTATATTTTAAAATTATTATACTGTACTATTCTTTATGTAAGGAGATTTGATTTTTACAAACAGCTAGTTGCTTTTTGACTTGACATTTAAAACTTAAACAAAACAGAGCTTACAAATTGAAATATTTTATAAAAATAATAGTTCTGTTTATTGAACTTATTATTCACTTTGCCCTCTTTATGTCAGATTAATTAATTTGGATAGTAAATAAACAGAATAATTTACGGATATTCCACCTGCTTTTGTCAAAAGACGATTTTTTTTTTAAATATATATTTTCACACTTTAAAAGAAAATGTATGCAATAACATAAACGTGAAAACTCTCCAATTTTGTGTAAATTTATTATTTAGAAATTTTATTTGTTATCTTATCGTCTTTTTGTTGCTTATTCATTAAATAATTTCTCCGAAAAACGTAATGAGAAAATAACTCAGCTCACAAGATGTCAAAAAAAAAAAAAAAAATCGAAATTTTGGGTTCGTCCGACGCTCGATGCTGTGTAGTTACATTTCGAATACACTTAAACACATTCGAGCATGGGCGAGGCATTCACTTGCGGGTATTCAGCGATGATTCGGAGATACATATGTATGTGTATATACCAACTGAGCACCTGCCAGTCGACTTTAGCAACTGTTACAACTGAGTTGTCCAGATCTGCAATGGTGATACATTAGATTGCCATGCATACAGCATAGGTAGTCTACATGCTCTGCGGCACGTGTTAACGTAACATGGAAAAATGCCAAAAAAAAAAAAAAAAAAAAAACAAAGACCTAAAATGTTTCCTACTTTTTCCTACACCCTGTATATATTATAATGAGCATACGCTGTGGTATTTGGGCAGCAGAAGTCGTCTTTGGCTCATATATTGAGCATATGGTTTGCTCAAAAGTCAATATATCAGCATTTTTGTTTGACTTTTTAGATGAAATCCCCGATTTCTAAAAGACTTAAATATACCCTATAACATTGACTTTAGTCTATAATAATTAAAATCGTTTGTTTTATTTGTTCAAATCAATATCTTACTTATTTTCGACCGTCAAATCGATAAATATCGAAATTATCGATTCGTGAAGATTCTTCTTCATAAACATTACTTTATTTTAAGTTCTTTTAATTTACACATAAATCAGCCTGTTTCATTAAAAAACTTTCACAGAGAGAGAGAGATGGTAGGGCTTACACTTTTTAGGATATAAAAGGTATTTTATGAGCGGCTACGCATCTTACCTGCTTGGACACACCCCTACTAGAGCACTCTTACTTATTTATTTAGTTGTTCAGAAAACGTGAATATGTCGAAAAATGTACCTCGCATCGGGCTGGGTCTGTTCACATTTGTTCAATTTGCTTTCGGTTGGTGAAATTTCGCCATTGATGTACTCGTTGCGGCTGTCGTTATTTTCTTTGCCGCCTTACTGACCTTGATCTGGTGATGGAGAGACGCAACTTGGACCTCTGATGTGCTGTGGACCTGAGCTGAACATACTGCAGTTGCCCGCGTCATTTTTGTTTTTGTTTTTGGCTTATGCTTATGCAATATCACGTGCACACATAAATATGTAAATCTTCTGGTTGTTTATTGCCATTATGTAATGTCAAAAAACACTTGTTGGCCCGTTAAACTAATCGGCTGGGAGGAGCATGAACGCATTCATCACAGATCACTCCAATCTCAATATCTTATCAGTATTGCCTGTCGCGGCATCAAGCTATGCTGGTGATCCGTATGAAACATGAGACTGATTATGAGACATTAGACTTATCATGCATTATGCTCTTTACTTTCTAAATTACCAATATTATACATGTATGCGATAAATGCATAACATATATGTAAACCTATCTAATAACATTTTTGTGTTCATTTGACTCAATGTCTCAAAGTTTTTAGTTTGCTAAGTTTTTAAAGTCATTCAAGAATTAAATTGAAATTTAATAAAAGTTTCTCTACTCTAAAAAGGCTACCAAAAAAAAAAAAATAAAATAAAATAAAAAAATAAAAAAAAAATAGAGCTTTTGCTTGAATCAACAAAACATTTTTAGTTTAATTTCATATAGTATTGATACTTTACAACAAAATTCTTTACGTTGCATTTCTTACAATATTCAAACAATTTGGGATACATTTTTTTTATTTTTTTTAAGTTACAAAAATATATATAATTTCCGATTCAAATTTGGCTTTTATTATATTTAAATTGCTAACATGCATGTTAAATCTAAAAATATTCTTGGCTGAAGAATAATTGATTACAAATGTTTGTCTGATCAGAATAATTAAAACCCATTTCCAATTAATGCCAATCGACAGTTAAAAAAAAAAATAATTGTTGATATTTCATAGAGACGTAACCGCTCTCCCGCAATTTCTCAAGCGCGTGGCTTCGATTCATATTTCATGGATATCCATAAATAAACGTCTATTTAGCAGCTGGCTTCCTAATTGGAAAATGGCAAGGCCCGCGAGCTCGAGTGCTCAAGACTTTAAGCCAAATGTGTCACCTGTGACTTTCAGTGAAATAAATTTGGTCAGCTATTTGGGTTATGTAATGGCCAAAGCAAAGACAAGGCGATGCAAAAAAAAAAAAAAAGTACCCCAAAATCTATGCCTGCCGCTCCAAGAGTAAATATATTTTTGAAACAAACACAAATGTCAAGCAGCCAAAGAGAAAAAAATGCATTAAATAATGTAAAGTGATAAAACAAAACTAAAGCAAAAGTAAAGATATACGGGTATGTACATGGCGAAATTGCCATGCGTCTGATGCGTCTGGTCGTGTCGTATTTGTATAGCTAATTATGTAGATTTGCTGGCTGAGGCGTCGAGTAAATAACGAAAATTGGCCAAGGCGCGTATTCGCACTACTAAGTGGTGCAAATGATGGGCGCAAACGCATCTATTATGGAACTAACGAGTACTAGACATACGGCTACGTCTCTGTCTCCGTCTCTGACTCTGACTCTGACTGCGACTGCGATTGCTTACGATCCCCGTCTGATGGAGTCCGAAAATGTTTGTCAATGCAATCGACAGGTAACCGGCCACTTAAAATTCAGCATCGTAAGCGAGGCACCTCCAAAAAACATTTTCATATATGAAAAACCCCGCAAAAACAAAAACTAAACAGCCGAAGTCAAAGCCGAAGTTGAAGCCACAGCCGAAGCCGCAGCCAAATGCTGCCGCTCGCCCATATATAAGACCGAGTGTGACCGAAGTATTTGTGTCATTGCAGTTTCATATAGTCGATCGGTCGGTTGCTGGTTTGTTCGTCGTGAACAAAGTCGAAAAGTTAAAAAAACGAAAGTGCGTGGGTGTGAAATCAGAGACAGTTCGAAAATGAAAGCGTTTATTGTTGCCGGTGTTTGTTTGTTTGGCCTGTTGAGCCTTGGCTCGGCCCAGTTCCAAAACGGACGCCTAGAGCCGCCAAATCCGCAGCTGTGCGCCCAGCGCATTATTCACGAGAAGACACCCGATGGCAAAGGGTGAGTCACTGACAAAATCCCTTTCCACAGCTCCACGAAGTGAATTGTTATTAATCTCAAACATATTTTACATTCACTTCTACTACAGCTACTTCTTCTCGTGGCGCGACCCACAACTGAAGGGCGTGGAGGAAGATTGGCTGACGGCCAGAAATTATTGCCGCAGACGCTGCATGGACTCTGTATCGCTGGAGACTAGTCTGGAGAATGAGTGGATCAAGCAACGCGTTGTGGGTGATAATGTAAGTGAAATAGAAAACTAATTTATACGATTTGGATGGTCCTTAAGACAAAAGACTTGAGCAACAAACTTATATGATCTTTAACAATATCACTACCAAGGTATTGAACTTTATTTTATTCGATAAGTTATGTATATACATATGTATATATATCATACTTGCATCATGCAAGTCATTGTTGACACTGACAAGATTACAAGCGATTGGCTAAATGCCTCAACAACTATACATATGTAGATATTTCCTTTTATTAAGCCGCCTCGGCTGTATACCAATTGACACCTCTGTCGGACACCAGTCAAAGAAATTGGCAATAATTTACGATGCTTACTGAACTAAAAGCCTTTTGTTTGAGTTATGTCATTTTGAGGTTTTGATAATTTGCACACTTTCGAATTGGGGCAGTCACATGCAAATGTTGCCGATCCACATTCATATTATAATTGTCGATTTCATTACTTTTTTGAGATTACAAAGGAATAATGGAGTTGAGTTGACCAAGTTCAATGCAAAACCATTTGGCAAACTTTCTCAGCGATTCATCAACATTTTGCAGTCGCTTTTGTTGCGGGCAATTTTGTTGTTCGCTGTTATGGTTGTTGTTTTTGTTCGTTTGTTATGCAACGGAAAGACTGACAAACAGGCAGACAAGTGTCAAGTTAAAGAGCTGTCTGTAACTCTTGAGGCTACGGCTGCTGCGGTTGCTGCTGCTGCTGCTGCTGCTGCTGCTGCTGCTGCTGCTGACCAGCGGCCGGCCGGCAGCGTTTTTGTCTGAGTTACGTGAGAAAATTGTAATTGTAGTGAAAACGAAAGTAAGTGTGAGGAAACAGCCGTGGAAACACAATATAGCAGTAAAAAATAAATAAAATCAATATGCATTGTGGTAAACCATAGCCATAGCAAAGAGGAAGTGCTGTGGCTAAATGCTTCCATTGCCAATGCCAAACAAAAGACTTAGGCAACAAACTTGCCGCAATTTGTATATCAATTATTTAATTTGTGGTAACCAATTGTGGTTAAACGTCAATGGACAATATATTACCCAGCTCTCTACCTCGGGTTTTTTTTTTTTTTTTTTTTTTTTTTTTTTTAAATTGAGAAAGTTCTGTTGACTCTCTGATTGGAAAGACTTTATGGCCTTTCTGTTCATGGCTTTTCTGTGGAATCAACTTGCTGATAAGCTACATGGGTATCCAATGCTCGTTCCACTTTTACTTTACATCAGATTTGATCCCCTCATATATTCAAATGAGACAAGTGCATCGGCTACGCTTCCGCGATGTTGCAATTGATTGATTGCAACGCCGTTTGCAATTACAATGCTGGCAAGGCCCGCAGCAATACAATACAACAACAAAAACAACAGTAACAATTCGATGTCCATTAATTTGTAGCTTTCCGCTCAATGGACATTTCCAAAGGGCACTCAATGGCAACAGGTGTGTGTGTCTCTGTGTGACTCTGCGTGTGTCTGTCTGTGTAAATACACATGTTTTTGTATACTATATAAAATAAACAGTTTTATGGCCATTCGGGTGAAAGTGACTGATGAACAGTGCGGTTGCTGTCGCTGCCTGTAGCTCTCTTGTGGCTGCTGACAACCGCCGAACGAAACCCGCCAACGGGTGCGGCCACAAAGGGCGCGACTTGGAATGAGTTCGCTTTCAATGGCACCATAATAGCTGCTCACTGGCTGGCGGCTGTCTGTCCGTCCGTCTGTCTATTGTTACTGAGCCCAAGCCCCTATCGATGCTTAAATTTCTACCAACTGTAATTGGTGTCAACGCATTTTCGAGCGTACGACAAAAACAAACTAACGGAAAACTGATATTCGAGCTTAGGCAAGTGCATTGAACTTGAACTGGTCGAAATGGGAGCAATAAATAAACCAAATTTATGCGTATCTAGCTATTTAACGGTCATCAATGGATCATTATTGAATATTAAGATCATTCAAAATATATTTTAAATTTTCCCTTTCTATATATTCTATACTTGACCTAGAAAGTTAGTTATAGGTCACACATAAAATTTAAATGCTTATTAAGATTATTATGAATATATATGTGATATATATGAATATATTCTATACCTCGCTTAGGCATACATAATTTCCAATCTTTGCTTACATACTAAATGCTACTGCTTTCTTTTCTTGCAGGTGAAATACATTTGGACCAGCGGTCGCTTGTGCGATTTCAAGGGCTGTGACCGTCCCGATCTGCAGCCCACAAACATCAACGGCTGGTTCTGGACCGCCACGCTGCAGAAGTTGGCACCAACCACGGAGCGCAGCCAGGGCGATTGGTCGCCCACCGGTGGCATTGGTCTGCCCCAGCCCGACAACCGTGAATTCAAACAGAACGGCGCACCCGAGAACTGTTTGGCTCTGTTGAATCAGTTCTACAACGACGGTGTCAACTGGCACGATGTGGCCTGCCACCACAAGAAGTCGTTCGTCTGCGAGGAGAACGATGCTCTGCTGAAGTATGTGCGCTACACGAACCCCAATCTGCGCATCTAAATCGCTCAAGACGGAAGTAGCAGCTGGGAATAACGTGTGGAGTTGGAGCCTCGAGCAGCGACTTCAAATAAACCAAAAATCATATTTTTATGTAGCTACCACAGATGTCCATACGTGTGTGTATGCAAATGTATGTGTGCTGGTGTGCGAAATGATTCATTCGATTCGGTGCTGCTCATGTACTCTTTGTTAGTTACTCTTCGATATCTTGTAAACTTCCGGCTATCCTATACATATGTCTTACGTATTTGTTGTAACAGTTTTTCCAGTCTCTGCGCTCTTTCTCATCACTTAGTTTAATTATTAACTTTGTATTAATTTATGATTTTTTAAATTATAATATAACATTCAAAACGACGAGTAAAACAAACTGTCTTTTTCTGCTAGTCTTCCAATTCATTTAAGCCGGGGGCAAAATATATGGTAATAATTTATAAGTGATTTTGAAAAGAAAGTCAAGTCAAAAGGCAAGCGTTACATGTTAACATATTTCTTTTGTTCGAAGTTTATCTGATATGAAAGCATACTCTGGAAATTTATTGACTTCAATTTTATATTATTATGATTATAGTTAAATATTTAGTTAATTTATGAAAGTTTCAAATGTACAAAACAAGCAAAACAAACATACAAAGCATTTGCTTTCACTATGACAGCGTTTTCTCCATTTTGAAAAGTTGCGCCATTATATGAGCATCTGCATATGCATCGATATGATTTAATCGATTTTAAGTTGTCAACCTGTTCAGTGTAAATTTGTTATTATTGATTTGAATAAACAACTCAACGAACTATTTCGATGTAGCTATCGATTTCTTAAGAGATTTGTTGTTAGTATCGATATACACCCAACAATATGTTGCAGTATTTTGAAAGTACTTTAGGAATCGATAATATTTCTCTCTCTATATTATCGAAGTGAGCTGTAAGAGCAGCGTTGATGTTTATTGAATTTGTTGGTTGAATATGGATATTGGTGAACTGTTGGCGTTTAAGGTAAGTATATGCAATACTAGGATCCGCAATTCATTTATAAGTGATTTTGCTTGCAAATAACAACAGCCCGAGCAGACGCCAAAGCGACCACATGAGGACGACGATGATTTCGCGGTGCCAGAGCCGGCGCCTAGCGATATTGGAAAACGGGGCGGCGGCGGCGATGAAAAGGCTAAGCGAATGCGTCGTATTGCGGATGCCAAGGAAACAGCTAACTACAAAAAGTCACAGGAGGGCAATGCAGGCTCAGGGTCCGCCGGCAGTACATTTGAATTTGACCCTGAATTGACGGAGGAGGAACGCCTAAACATACTGAAATATGTGGAGAGCGAAGAGGCAGAGGGCGATGTACTGGACGAGCAGGGTCTTAAGAAGTTGATACTCGTGTTTGAGAAGCGTAACTTAAAGAACCAAGAAATGCGCATCAAGTTCTCCGACAGTCCCGAGAAGTTCATGGAATCAGAACTTGATTTGCACGCAGTCATCCAGGAACTGAAAGCGGTGGCAACAGTTCCGGATCTCTATCCATTGCTAGTCGAGCTGCATGGGCTGCACAGTCTGTTGGAGCTATTGGCACATCAAAACACGGACATCGCCGTCGCGGTTGTCGATCTGCTGCAGGAAGTCACAGACGTCGACATTCTGGGCGAGAGCAGCGATGGAGCAGAGGCATTGATTGAGGCCCTGCGGAAAGAGCAAATCTGTGCATTGTTAGTTCAGAATCTAGAGCGCCTTAACGAACAGGTCAAAGAGGAATCTGATGGTGTACACAATACATTGGCTATTGTGGAGAATCTAATCGAAATTGAGGGCGAGTTTGTGCGCGAGGCGGCCACACAGGGTCTGCTGGCCTGGATACTTAAGCGGCTCAAGGGCAAGTCGCCCTTCGATCCAAACAAATTATACTGCAGCGAGATATTGTCAATACTGATACAAACAGAAAACGAGAATCGTCTGCTGCTGGGGACACTAGATGGCGTGGATGTTTTGCTGCAGCAGCTAGCTATATACAAACGTCACGATCCCGCCAGCAACGAGGAGCAGGAGTACATGTCCAATCTGTTCAATTGCCTCTGCTCGGCGCTGATGGCACGAGAGAATCGTGATCGTTTCCTGAACGGTGAGGGTCTGCAGCTAATGAATCTGATGCTGCGCGAAAAGAAAATGTCGCGCAACGGCTCGCTAAAGGTGCTCGATCATGCCATGGCCGGTCCAGACGGGCGTGAGAACTGTAACAAATTTGTGGAGATCCTTGGCCTACGCACCATATTTCCGCTCTTTATGAAAACGCCCAAGCGCAACAAACAGCGCCTGCTGTCCGTCGACGAGCATGAGGAGCATGTCTGCTCGGTGATTGCATCCATGCTGCGCAACTGCAAGGGCACACAGCGCCAACGTATGCTGACCAAATTCACGGAGAACGATCACGAAAAGGTTGATCGCCTGCTGGAGCTGCATCTCAAGTATTTGGCCAAGGTGGAGGCCATCGACAAAGAAATTGATCAGCAACCAAAGGTGAGTGCCTTAGCTGTTGGTTCTCAAATTTAATTTTATATTGTACATTTTTATGTTTTTTTTTTTAGTTTAGAATAATTTAATATATATTACAAAGGAAAAATGGCAATTAACATATGAAATTTTTTGTAGGATGCAGCTATAGATGAGGATGAGGAGACTGAGAACAATTACATAAAGCGTCTAACTGGTGGTCTGTTTACCCTGCAGCGCATCGACTACATCCTGCTGGAGGTCAGCGCCACCTCCGAAACTGTAAAACAGCGCGTTCTGCAAATCTTAAATTTGCGCGGCGCCTCCATGAAGACAATTCGAAGCATAATGCGAGGTGAGTAATGATTAATTTTACTATTTCTTGATCATGCCCTAATCATTGGGTATATTTGCAGAATACGCTGGTAATTTGGGTGACGGCGACACGGAATGGCGGGAACAGGAGCAGACGCATATACTTTCTTTAGTCGATCGATTCTGATGTAATCGTTTCCCTCTACAGTGACCAGCTCATATAATAATATTAACTAAATAAAAGAATGTCCGTTGGCGAATATTACTTTTGAATTTTTCAATTAGTTTTGATTAATTTGGTAGATTTTGAAATTTTGAAAAAGCGTGCAAGGTTTTATATGTTAAAATTGTTGAGAATTAATGCACAACCGTCCCAGCCGGGAGTATCTATATCGCCATCATTGAACTTGTATTTCAGATATTTATTTCAATGGCTGCCAGATCTATTTTGGTTTATTTAATCCTAATTTCTATATTGCTTATGGTCTCCATTCTTCTTTAGTTTTTGCATTGCAAAATATTTTCGCACACATATATATAGCATGTGTGTTTATTAAAATTGTTTTATATGAAGACATCAAAATGCACGCTTGAAGTTTTTCGATCATATCTAGTTATTTAAATAAATTTTGCAATTGAAGTAATAGTTGGGTATTTGTTTTAACAGAGGGGTCTCATTTGTAGCTTCTTGCATTTTTCCTTTTCCCATTTCTATTTCTTTTTGCATTTATCGCCGCCTTTTGACCTGGAGGAATGTAAATTAGTTGTTGCAAATGGAAATGAATGAAATGAAGATAAGCGATCTACAAAAAACACATGTATATTATGAGTTGAGATTTTTGGGGAACCAAAGAGTTATCAAATAAAGTTCTAGTGTTTTGTAATAATATTGCGTTTTAATTTAAAGCGAAATTAATTTAAATTGCGTAATACACGACTCACTACTTTTGAAGCAGTTCGCAGATCAATAAATTATATCTGTTTTGCAAAAATCACGTTCAACGTTTGGATCGATAGATCAGCTGCTGGATTACTAATATATATTTAACTTTCGTGCAGATATCAATACATTTTTGTTTTAACGCTCAAGTTATAGAGGTGCAAAAAGTTGTAGTTCTTAGGATTATTCGAAGTGACATAATATTATGACGTTTGCTTGTTTCAAATTCACAACAATGACGCGACTCGAGCTTCATCTTTCATCTTATATGTAATAACGATTTTTGCAAAATTGTTCAATTCTTTTAATTCGATAAATCGAAATGAAATATTACTAACTACGAAGCGTTGTATAGCAGTAGTAGTTTTTTTATGTGAATTGTATCTAATTTTTTGAGTAGATGTGTTTTTGTTTGTTTGTTGTTGCTGTTGTTTGTGTTCTACGTGGGCTGTATGGTTGACTTAGCCGTTTATTGGATGGATCTACTTCTGTGCATCGGGAATCTCAAAGTTAATATCCATGTTCATTTCACGAGCCAACGAAACAATCTGTGCCAAATGCACAGCCATGTCGGCAGCCTTGTCTAAATCATCTCGGGCCAAAATCTTCAATCCTGAGTTGCGGATCAATTCGCGAGCCTCCTTCACTTTAGTGCCCTATAATCAGAGACAATTTTTAATAAGATAATGCAATTTTCTCTCAGTTAAACGTATTCAAATTACCTGTAAGCGCACAACGATCGGTAAGTTAAGATTTAAATCTTTGGCAGCGGCTATGATACCCTCGGCAATAACATCACAACGCATAATGCCGCCGAAAATGTTAACTAACAAACACATGACCTTCTTGTCGGAAGTGATAATCTTGAATGCAGCCTTGACTGCTTCAGCTGTGGCGCCACCGCCGACATCAAGGAAGTTGGCCGGTTCACCACCATACAACTTGATAATGTCCATGGTGGCCATGGCCAAGCCAGCACCGTTAACCATGCATCCGATGGTACCATCTAGCGCAATATAATTCAAATTGTATTTGGCCGCTTCGACCTCTTTGGGGTCCTCCTGGGTCCAGTCACGCAAGCTGAACAGCTCCTTTTGCCGGAACTCCGCATTGTCATCAAAACGCAATTTGGCATCCAGGGCAAAGACTATAATTGATAATTGAAAAATTTATTTAAAATTTAATTCAATTTATCATGTTTAAGTGGATTTTTGTTTAGTAAATTTCCGTTGAGCTTATATTGGGTGATTTTATGTAGTGTGATTTCAAAGTGCAACCATATATATAAAGCAGTACTTACAGCCTTTACAAGTCAGCATCACGCAGCATTATTGACGTTATTATGATATAGATGAATTATGAGTTAGTTAAGGAAAGATGACAAATGTTTTAGTAGAGTTAGTTATCGTTAAGAGTTCGGCAAGCTGACAACTTACAGCCAGTCATGGCATCTTCCGCATAGGGATTGATCTCAACTAACAGTGCATCCTTCTTCACAAACAGCTTGTAGAGGTTAAGCAGCATATCGACATGTTCCTGTGCATTTTCACCACCCAGACCGACCTTGTCAATGACGCGGCAGGCCTGTTCTTTGGTCAGTCCCTTGCCAATATCAATTGGCTCGTAAATAATGGCATCGGGACTATCTCTGGCAACTTCTTCGATATCGACGCCACCCTCCTTGGATGCGATTAGTACGGGTCCCTGATAGCAATGAAAATCTATAATAATTCTGATTTTCTTTTAAGCACATGATTGTGGAACTTACATTGAAGGCGCGCTCCAACATGACAGCAAAATAGAATTCACGGCGAGGAAACTTTCGCTCGGCAACCATTACCTTCTTACAGAGGCGACCTGCTTCGCCGGTTTGCTTGGTGACCAACAGCTGATCGATCATCTTCGAGGAAATTTCCTCTGCTGACTTCGGACTAGACGACAATAGACAAAAATGATTACCACTAAAGTTTATAAGATATACAATTAATACTTACTCGAAGACGACACGAACGCCGCCCTTAAGACCATTTTTAAATGTGCCTTTACCACGTCCGCCAGCAAGAACTTGGGCCTTAAGCACCAGATTATCTGTCTTTAGTTTTTTGGCTATGTCATGAGCTTCTTTGCCATTCTTTGCAACGGCGAAGCTGAAAATCAAGAAATGAGTCATCAATGAGAAAGTTTTGTGGCTCCGCATTTATGTTGCAGAGTACTGAATGTAATAACTGATAATAATGTCTACGTCAACGATTCTTATCAGCTGAATAACTGGACATATGTTTTGTATTTATAGATATTCGTCTTACCTCAAGGTTATTCAAATTGTAAAAAACTGTTAATAAACAAATTTTTATATACATGCTGCTTAATCTTTTCTGAAGTTTCTCTTTGTAGGGTCAATGTTCAAATTCAATTTTGTGAATCTTTATTAAAAAACAATATTTATTAAATTTAATATTTTTTAGTATATATTTATATAAGGACTACACTCATGGTCTACTTTAATACGTGACAACATTAATTCAATCAATATTTATTTAACTTTATATGTTGAGGTTTTATAGAATGCTTTAATATATAAGGAATATTTATTGACTACTTAAGGAATATTTCTAAAAAAATGTAATATTTTCAAGTGTTTAGGCAAGTTATGAAAATGTAAAATTTATATAGTATATTATTATCAATATCTCACGAGCTTTCCGTCTATTTACTAATATTTACATTAAGTTAAATGCAAATCGTAATCTCGTTTTATATACAAATGTATATATATTAATGATTGGAATGCAAAAGTCAAAGTCCGTGAAACAGTTGCCGTAACATTAGCTTGCACTTTGTACCGTACTTTATATTATTTATATATTTAAATATGTATTTGCTATGCACTTACCGAGGCGTCGGGATGTTACTTTCGTTCAACAGCGTATATGAAACATGTTCCTGAACATTTAGGTTCCTCAACTGCTGCAGTCCGATTGGCGAGTATTTCAGGATCTGTACGAGAGGGAGAGAGATAGAGAACAATATAGTAATAAGCAAAAAGTCACGAGTTTCTGATTGGAAATAATTCGGGCAATGGCATGACGCATGAAATAAATTCGAAACGATGTCTGTAGGTCATAAACAAAAGTCGTTTTTTGCAAACAAACAAGTTGAGGGAGACGCGACAAATATAACGGCATTTCATCATGTTAATCAAATCTAATTCACATAGATTAAATTTTTAATTAGTGGGCTCGTCCGCGATAGCAACAGTTGTCAACTATGCCCACGGTTCATTGATAAAAGAGATCAGTTTTGAATTTGCCATTCAAGGTCCCATTTTCACCTTACACAGAGTCGACCATTGCGTCACACACATACATACGCACTTTTCCTACGCATAAAAAAAGCAACAACAAATTGATCGCAAACAACGACAGTCAGGTGGCTTTTTGTGCAGCGCTCTCGTGAGAGCAGCGTTCACCTTGTCAATTTGTTGTTGGTTTTAGGTGCTCATTCTTGCAATTATGTAAAAGTACCACGGCAAATTATGCATTTGCTAATGTTGCAGCACACTTACCTTTGTCACCGTTTTGGGGTTTATTGTTTCAACAAAAGTACCCCCTGCACGCGCCAAAAAAGATGCCATTTTTCGTCTAAAATGAATGAAACTAATATGAATTTGTTGGCACTTATTCCAACACAATCTACTACTCACTTCGGTCGCCTTCTAATATGTATTCATTTAATAAATTTGTTATCGATGATAATTTTAGTATGTTTTATACGGGCACACAACTGTAAAACATCGATGTGTCGATAGGTAGCTAAGTCGTTGCTCGAGTGAATCAAATCCAATGACTTTAAAGGGTGAGCTGATGTGATTTACATGATTTGATACAAAACAAAATTATATACCTTCCATATGTGTAATACCAGTTAATATTCACATAGATGTTTTGACTTTTTTGTGTGTAACGTTAGTATCCCGCCAACTTCAGTGTCGCCTATCGGGCCTATCGATATTCAAATTGAATAAATTCTCGACTACTCGTACTGTCGCGCGCAAGTATAAAATACAGACGTAGATGGCATTTATATATAAATGACGTTTACATGTCACGTCATTAATATTTGTTGTTTTTTAGTACGACAACGTAAGACAATAATTTTGTGGAGAGTACCCGAATCAAGTATACCTAAAATAAAATATGGACCATAAAATTGAGCACACACACGATCCACAGTTGCAAGAGCCATATCAATCGGATTCCCCTAATCATACCATTGTGAACGAGAGTCCTCTTGTGCAGCACCTGCTTAACCATGTAGGCGAGCAGAAATATCTATTGAAATGGGAGCAGCATGCAAGATATCAGCAAGAATTACAGCTGAAAGCAGCTTTACAGAAGCAGTGCAGTTCACTCACAGATAACAGAAAGCTGAATGCTATGTTAAGAAATGCCAATTATGAGCTTTCTGTGCTCAAATCGCAGTTGAACCCCACAAAATCGGAGCAAACAACCCAGCTGAAAACTGTTTTATATAATGAAGACACTTTGATTGCAGCTAACAAAAAGCTGCTTGCAGAGAATGCTGAGCTAACTGCGACCCTGGAAGCTAAGGAGCTCCAGCTATCCCGTGAGAAAACTAAGACTGAGCAACAAATTGCACAGGTAAAATACATGTACATATATATGTATGTATACCTAGCTTACAAGCTTGCAATATTTATTCAAATTTCATTTAGCTGAAAGAAGATCTAAGTCGTGCCGATCGCGAATTGAAGCGGTGCCAGACTCATGTGCTTGCCATAACTACGATCAACGAAATGCTAATAATTGGGAATGAAAAACGCGACGATATAATTTATGAATATAAGCGAAAGCTGCACAAATTCAATAACTTAAGCATGTCATCTGATTCTGAGTCGCTATCGGAAGACAGCTCTGTTGTAGAGGTAGAGCAAGAGGCGCACAAATCCCTAGGAGAGAAAACTGAGAACTGTATGGGTGAGTAGGCAAACTAATGCATATTTGTATCAATAATATAGATATATTCAAAATATCCAAAGAAACCTGTCAGGGCTTGCCCCGTAACACCAATGCATCGTCTATTCATTTGGGAACTTATGCCCAGTTTCGTCGACATTTATCTGAGGTAGAGGAAGAATCGACCGATCAGTATCTGTGTACGCTTTGTGGCTGTCGTTCGAGCAGCGAGGGTGATCTTAAACTTCACTTGTTTGAGAAACATGAAATGGAATCGCTGTCAGTGATGTTGGATAAATGCTGTCTGGATTAGTATTTTGAGAAGACTTGTGAAAGTGAGAATCTAACATAAATACCATTTTGTATGCCGAAGAAGTTTCCGGCTGTAGACGAGGACTCACTGGATTACTGGACATTATCCGATCAGTTTCATTTGTTTATCGAAATGAAATTGTTGCATTTTTGTTTACTTTTTTATTTATTCTTTTTTTTTTTTTTTTTTTTTTTTTTTTTTTTTTTTTGTTTTTAGCTTGTTATGGTTGGACATACAAAAAAAAAAAGGTTACATCATCACATACAATTAACATACATACAAGAGAATAAATAAGTTTAATAATTCTAATAATTCGACAAATGAGTTTAGAATATTTAACTGAGTTCACAATCTGGCAAACGTACACTGAAAGAAAGCACGCCGCATTAGCGCGCACTTCGATTGGCATACTTTCTATACAGTGTACGAAATTGTTTAAATTTTAAGGACGAAAGTACGAAAATTGGGCAAATGCTTTACTTGAATGGGCTTTGACATAAATGGGAAATCAACCGCGGCATTGATTCGCTGCAAACCTTCAAGGGAAGCAAATGCATTTTCATGACGCCGACAGAGCCCATGGCTCAGATGTATAGATCCCGATCCTGATGCACAGTCCAGAATCGCTTCTCATACATGAGCATGGGCAGAGCCAGCCGAATAGACAGATAGAATACAATAGATAGATACATTAATAACATTGCAATGTTTTTTTTAGAGTTGCATTTTCCATTGAACTCTGTGCGGAAAACACAATGAAAAATGTGAAGAGAAAAAAGAATTTTAAGAATATTTTCAAATGCTGCTCGAAATCAAATTGGTTATGTAACGAAATTTTGGCAAAGCTTTTGGGATAGCAGCAAAAGCAAAGTACCAAAAATTCGATACATAACAAAACATGTTGATTTCGAGCCTTATAAACTTGATGATGTTTTGGGAATCACATATAACACTTAAGCGAACAAACGTAGGAATATACAATAAACATTTAACACATATTTATCACATAGATTTACAAATAAACACAAAGACTAACACAGAACGAAACGAACATAAAACACATTAAAAACTAACATTCGAAATTACATTTCTGTTTTAAAAACAACTCTGCATGCCGTCACTTGAAATGAATGTAAAATTTGAAGCCTGGTGCCAGACCGGCGGCTCCCTCAGCTCAGCTCCACAGCTCTTCCCTAATACTCCAAATTCGCTTCAATCATCTGAAGCACTCGCTGCCGTCCGATTTTGTTCCAGAATACATGTGGCTCAGATGAGCCCGTCACACTACGTGGCCCGCTATGGAATAAATATTGAAAATTTATGTGGTTTTCCGATTTATAAAAGGGTTGTGTGAAAAGTTAGTAATAAAATACTAAAATTTATAAGATTAAAAAAATAGCGTGTATGATTTCTGTCTTTCTATCTTCTATAGCATTACTAAATAAAATTTCTATCAAATAAAATTAATATGAATACGTTAACGAGAGTAGTATAAAAAGTTGTTAGCTTAACATTTGTTTCAAATTACGTTTCAATCTGAATAAATGCGAATAGAATCTACAATACATACGATTTTATAGGATGATAGTCTAAAACGGTATCTATTTATATATGTATAGTATGTATATTTATATTAATTCAATTTACATAAACTTAACAAAAATTAAAACACTTTTTTCTTCGCTAAAAGACATTTACTTTTCACACTACCCTCGTATATATTAATTAAGGTGCCAATATACTCTTTTCGTTTACTGCACAAGTATTAAACATAATAATTGAAATATTACTTAAGTTACATTCACAGTTCTAGCTGACAGATAACTTACTTCTGGAAGCAATCGAATCGCACGACGCCATTCTCGTTGATCAGACAGGAATGTATATCAATAACTTTCAGGTGTCGCCCCTCGTTGCGTATAAACTTGTTCAGGCGCAACACCTTGTCGCATGTCTGCTTGTCGTGGCGATAGTTGGCCAGCGGTGCGAGCGTGGTCAGCACAGGTACGAATCTACGGCTATGCATCTCCTTCACCAGCTGACGGAAATCGTGCTCGATCTGCACTAGCGGCCTGCCACGCATTATATCCACGGAGCCGATATTAACGATGATTTGCGTCATCTCGGGCAGCTCGACAAGTCGCAACCGTTGCCTGGCCGCATTGATCGTCTGTCCAGAGATGCAGAGTCCAGACTGCAGCACCTTCTCGTCTATTTATGGGTCGATGCGGAACCAAACACGTGAGCACACAAATATCAATACCAATACCAATACCAATGCAATCCATATTACACTTACACTTCTTGAAACGGCACTTCAGCTCCATGCGTGCCAGATATAACAAGAAGTCGTCGCCCAGCAGTGGAAAGTCCAATAGATATGCATCATAGTCCGAGTTGATGGTGAACATGGAGTCATGTTGCGATGGACATGACAACGTTGTTGGCGTGGGTGTGAAATCGTTTCGCCTCTTATGAGTGTACTCCTCCAGGTGTTTCAACTGCTGAACTACTTGATGTTGTTGTTGCTGTTGCTGCTGCTGTTGCTCTTTGTGCTCTGCTGGCGGTGCTGCCTGTAACTGTGCAGGATTCAAAGTGTTCGAGTAGATGTTGCTGCTGTTGCTGTTCTTGAGAGCATTGGGCTGCGGTAGCTGATACTGATTGTTGCTGCAAATGAAAAATCGGTAGATATGGATACAGATACAGATACAGATACATATACAGATATAGATACCGATACCTATACAGATACAGATACAGATACAGATCAAGATACAGATACAGATACAGATACAGATACAGATACAGATACAGATACAGATACAGATACAGATACAGATACAGATACAGATACAGATACAGATACAGATACAGATACAGATACAGATACAGATACAGATACAGATACAGATACAGATACAGATACAGATACAGATACAGATACAGATACAGATACAGATACAGATACAGATACAGATACAGATACAGATACAGATACAGATACAGATACAGATACAGATACAGATACAGATACAGATACAGATACAGATACAGATACAGATACAGATACAGATACAGATACAGATACAGATACAGATACAGATACAGATACAGATACAGATACAGATACAGATACAGATACAGATACAGATACAGATACAGATACAGATACAGATACAGATACAGATACAGATACAGATACAGATACAGATACAGATACAGATACAGATACAGATACAGATACAGATACAGATACAGATACAGATACAGATACAGATACAGATACAGATACAGATACAGATACAGATACAGATACAGATACAGATACAGATACAGATACAGATACAGATACAGATACAGATACAGATACAGATACAGATACAGATACAGATACAGATACAGATACAGATACAGATACAGATACAGATACAGATACAGATACAGATACAGATACAGATACAGATACAGATACAGATACAGATACAGATACAGATACAGATACAGATACAGATACAGATACAGATACAGATACAGATACAGATACAGATACAGATACAGATAGATACAGATACAGATACAGATACAGATACAGATACAGATACAGATACAGATACAGATACAGATACAGATACAGATACAGATACAGATACAGATACAGATACAGATACAGATACAGATACAGATACAGATACAGATACAGATACAGATACAGATACAGATACAGATACAGATACAGATACAGATACAGATACAGATACAGATACAGATACAGATACAGATACAGATACAGATACAGATACAGATACAGATACAGATACAGATACAGATACTATACCATCAATAATAATGAAGATAAGTTGAAAGAACTTGATCCCGATACTACTCTTGCATAACTCAGCAAAAATATGTAAAGTTAATTTACGTCAATTAAATTAATAAGTTAATCACACTTACAGATGCTTCCAGTTGTCATGATAGACACCGTTGGGCGCCAATGCAGCAGCCGTGGCCAGGGGCTGCAGCTTGGCCATCTTGACAGCTGGCGGCTTTTCGCTCGAGTTGAGATTAACATTGAAGTTGGGTGGCATTCGCCGTTTGTATTGTGAGCGCCACAGACGTGGCGGCTCCTGTGAGTACACCATGTGGTTGTTGTTGTTGTAGTGGGTGTTGTTGTTGTTATTGTTGTAATTGTTTCGACTCTCACGTTGGCGCTGCTGCAATATCATCTCGTGAAGATGGCGAGTTTCCTCAGTGGGCTTGATGTTAAAGATGCGCTTGCCGGACTCACAGCACTCGGCCGTGACGTGCGGAATGGTTAGCAGAAAATCTGTGATGTTGTCGTGCACCGGAAATGCAGTGCCCGTCAATTGTCGATACTCATCTGTATTATGCAGATATATGGGTGCAAATATTAAATATATATCAAGCAGATCTGATGAACATGGAAATGAATTGGTCTTGAAAAGCCACAACAATAAAGAAAGTAAATTGATTTTTCTACTAACTCTATGAGTAAATGATGTGTTGAAATGTCCACTATAAATTGTGAAAAACTTGTGGAACTTAGAATTAATTAAAAGTATAATAGAAATTTAAATACTGCTTAGATTACTGCAAAGATCTTAAAACAAATAATCCTATATAACTATGCTTGGTTTATAGTTTAAAGAGGTTATTATTCTGATTTAGTTATATTCAAAAATTAATCAACAAAAACTTTATCTTACAAATACTTTGAAAACGTTATTTCTTAGTCGATAATATCCGATCGCCTCTTTGATCACGTGACTTATGAAATAAAATTTGCACTGACTTTGCTCAAATTATCTTTATCACTGTTCCTGTATTTAAAGTTTCTACGGCTTAAACTTACTTTTGATGCTTGATATCGTGATACCATTCTGGGCATTAGCCAGCAGTATGGCGCGTATTTCAGCATCAATCTCGGGGTGCTCGTCACGCACCCCTATATAGGAGCTATCCATGATGGTCATGTCGGAGCTGAGGGTGCTCGATATGAGGGTCGATGAGAAGAGTCGCGCTACAATTTGCAGCTCCTCCTCTGCCACCTGCGTCTGCTTCTGGCTGATGCGGCGACCAAGTGCTGGCTGTAGCTGAGCGGCTGCTGTCCGAGCACTTGCCAAATTCTGGCGTGCTGTG